GGCCAGCGTTGCTCTTCCCGCCGGCAACCTGCTCGATCCAGGACAAAACACAGTTTAGTCTGATAAAAGCAGCGGCCGTGGCAGGCTTGCACTGAGAAAAACCTGTCTCGGGTGGGGGTGCTGCATCAGCACCCTATAACCTGCAGTTTGGATGGACTTTCGGCAAAGTCCAGCCAAAGCCCAATCTGACGCCTGGCAGCAGAAACAAGTGCAAAGTCAATAAAAGGGGGAAAAAAAAAAAAACCTGACAAACATACATGCCCACACTGTGGACATTAACTGCCTTTATCTGGGAAAAGTCCCTCCTCTGGCAGCAGAATGCCCGGCTTAAAAACGCCGGCCCAGCCAGCAACGGCTTTGCGCGTTTTAGCCAAAAAGCACAGGTGTCGCCCTGAAAAACAAGCTTGCACCCACCCCGCTTCCGGAGTCGCTTAGCCCAGAGCCCCCCAGGCTCAGGGCCGGGCACCGGGAGGACGCGGGGATCCGCGGCCTGGCTCGGCGGCGGGGGGGCTGCCCTGGCGGGGGCCGGGGAGGCTCTGAAGAAACTGCCTGCTCTGCTGCAAGGAGCACTTTAATTAAAATAAACCACCTGGGAGCCACACGGCTGCGGCCCATCGATTCTGCTTTATTCCCATTCACCGGAGAGCAGCCGGCTGTGCGGCGCAGCATCCTTCCTCCCCTTGGCCAACACGTGGTCTGGGACGTGAGTTACAGCAGGGGCAGCCTTGAAAGAGATGCCGCCTTTGGATGATGTCCTGCTCCCCCTGCAAAATATAGAGTCTATATTTATATAGCAATTCCTGTATATTCTGTATATTTAGTTTTACATTGATAAAAGCCCTTCGTAATTATAGAATTGCGTCTTGGCGAAAGCACTCGAATCCCACCTGGAGCCCAAGGCCGTAAATCCTCGGCTGTCTTCACGGCCTTTACTTGGCCGATAGCTATTTTGTCTTTCCGGGCATCTTTACTGCTCCATCCCTGGCAGCCCTCCTTATTGGGCTTTATTCGCTGCTAGGACCCCTCTCCCGCAGCCCCTCGGGCCGGGCGGCTCGCCCAGCCCCTTGCAGCACCGCGCCATGCAGGCGCCACCGTCGCCGGCGCTGAGCTCCCGACTGCGGCAAGGCAGCGCCGGGAGTTAGCACCTTCATTTTGAGATGGATCTGGGAGGGGAAGATAAAAAAAAGGGAATGCGATCTTCTCCCCAAACCTGACTGCGAGTGCTTCGTGCCAGAGCTGAGCGCAGTCCGCAGTGTGCCTCTTCGTGGCGTAGGGTGCAATACTGCAGGCAACGAAGAGGTCGGTTAAAGTTTAATGTTTGGACAAATACACCATTCCCTGCACTTAATCAAGCATCGGCAATTTCTGAGGATAAGCACAAAGGCTGGCTCACACTGCGGTGCTGAAGGGGCTGGATGGCTCAGCGTTTCAGGCAATAAGAGGTCTCCGTAAAAAAAATTGTGTTTTGTACCATGTTCGCAGAAGAAGAAGCAGACGCTCACACAAGGTGTAGTTATATTTTTTTTTTTTTGCTTTTAATGCACTTTTATTGTCACTCCTTCTGCCCGCCCCAGCCAGCAGCACCGCTCCTCGGGTCAGGCCAGCAAGGAGCAGGATGCAGCCATCCCCACAGCGCCCGACTCACTGCGAGCCGAGAAAAACCCTCAAAATGCCTCTGCTGCTGCAACAAGATCCTTGAACAAGAGAAATCCATTTTCCATGCAGCCAGTTTCACCTCCCTCTGTCTCAACCTCATCAAGAAAGACACAGAGCGGACGCTAAGCGTGACCAGGGCGCAGGAGCGGGTCTCACAGCCCTGCGGGTGCCCCCCAGGAAGGGAAGGCGCATCGAAGGGGGCGGATGGGGTAGCCGGTGCCCCCGCCTGCCCCCCCTTCCCCAAATCAGAGCTCCTTTCTCCATTCACTGCCCTAAACAACAGCAGTGTCCCTTCTAAATAAATTGTTTAAAAAAAAGAAAAAGAAAAAAAATCATCTATTTAGTAAGAGTTCGGATCATACAAAGATTCAAGTAGCATCCACTGAACTAGAAAAATCAATTCATGTACAACAGCTTAGAAAATTAAAAAAAAAAAAAAGACGTGACATTTCCGACGTTTCAGTGCACTGGGTTATGCTTCATTGTAACGCTGCCAACTCGCAGCCACGCAAGGACCAGCAGTATCCGCGGGGTGGCCAGGTCTGAGCCGAGCCTCCCTGATTCGCCACCTGGCTCTGACCAACTCCAGCTTTCCACCACATCCCTTTTCGCTCTCAGGCACATCCGAGGCGTCCCACCACCCACACACCCTTCAATTGCTGCTCTCCTAGTAATGCCGCTAATGAACTACTCATCTAAACGCAACCACTTGCCCCCCGCCTGCGCAAGGGACCGCTAGAGATCCTGGAGCCGCCGGATGAGGTCGTCCTTGTTCTTCAGCAGGAACTTCTCGCAGGCTACGAAGGTGGCGTAGAAGTTGGAGGACAGGCCCACAATGTTGGTCGTCACATAGTTGAGGTACCCCGGCGTGGCCTGGTTGTAGTAGGCCACCTGCAACCCACAGAATACATATGTTAAGGATGTGTGCGGAGGTTGAAACCTCTTCCGCTGTGTGTGTGCAGCAGGGTAGGGGCTGGCCCTCCTTCTGATGGGCTGCAGAGGGACAGCCAGGCCAGGAGAAATGCCGTCTGCCCTCATCTAGTGGCCATAAACTCCTCAATAGATGGGGACAGGCAGGGCTCAGCTCTTGGTCATGTCACAACTCAGGATTGGAGCTGTGCACCAGCCCAAGAGGACACCCCAGCCCTGAGAGGACACCCCTTTCCACGTGTGGCTCTGCGGCGTCTCACCTTGCTCATCTCCTCCGACTCCGACCAGATGCAGAAGCCCGAGCAGAGCGTCTCACCCCGCGTGAAGCCAGGGCTGGGCAGGTGGGTGGGCAGTGTCACCGACCGGAAAGCCACCACGTAGGGGTCCCTGTAGGAGAAAAAGGAGGACAAGAGCTCAGTGAGCAGGGCACAGCCCAGCCGATGGGGCGGCGGAGGCCAGGACCCCACGGGGGACACGACGCGCTCCGATTTACCCTTTGTCGCAGGGTTTCCGCCGGGATGCCAGGATGACGAAGTCTTGCGGCTTGTTCTCGTGGCTCAGTGTCTGGCTCACCACGTGGTAGATCACGTCATCATCGTCCACTTGCTGGACCAGCTCAGCACTCCTGGGAGGTGGGAGGGCAACGGTTACACGAGGCAAAGCAAGCACAGTCCAGGGGTCCGGACACAGCGGCAGGCTGTGGGCCAGGTGCTGGCGATGGGGCTGAAGGCTTTGCCCTCACACTTCGTTTTACGGCCAAGCCAACTGCATGGGCAGGACACTGCACCTCCTGGGCCTTTTCTGCTTATGAGTTTGGTTGGTTGGAGATCAGAGAGAATTTCTGAGTCTTTCCAATGAAGAGAAGTTCAGCAGCCCCCACAGAGTGGTGTTTTCCCCAGAAGAGGAGGTTAATCTTATTTATGGCTTCACTTTTGGCTAATGGCTCGCACCGGGGCGGGAAACGTTGGCTCCAAGGTGAACAGGCTTGTTCCCTGGAAGGGACAGACTGCTCCAGCACGGGTGGCCCAGAAGAAGGTATTTCTTCCTTTGCTGAGTCATAAGCACCTGAGCTAGGCTAAGGGGCCTTATCTTTCACCACATGGGCAGAGCATGGGGCACTTCACATGTCCTGCAAAGTGAGGGCGGCCACAGCTCGGGCAGCACCACCCAAGATGTTCTCGGGCAGAAAAGCGGTGGGCAGAAAAGGACTGGTGGCTCTCCTCCAGCGGGCCGGGGAGCCACCAGCACCACGCTCCAGGCACTCACGCATAGTGGCTGGGCCCCCCCTGTTGGTCGGACAGGAGGGAGAAGGCCTGGGCTGCGGGGATGCAGACTGTCATCTCGATGCGAAAGGAGAGGAACTTGTCCTCCTCCAGCGTGTACATCCTCACCTGTGAAGGCACACAGCAAGCAGTGCGACGGGTGCATGCAGGTGCCTGCGGGAAGCCACCACGGCACGCGCGGGAATCCTTACTCGGGGCACAGCGCGTTCAGTACCTTTTCCTTTTCTCTGGCCAGGACCCAGTTTGCTTTCGCGACCAGAGTCTTCAGCGCGGAAACATTGTTGTAGCTCAGATAAACCTGCAGCAGGGACACGAGAAGGGCATCAGGGGTTGTTTGGACCTTTACCCACCAACTCTTCCCCTGCTTGACGTGGGCAGCAGCACAGGCATCTACTCCGTGCAGCAGCTCATTCGGGCGCACGCCGTTTAGCACAGGATGGCTCTATGCCGGGTTTCCAGATCAGCCCGGAGCCAGGAGAGGCAGCAAAGCAGCTGAAACACTTCCCACACCCTGTGCAGAAACGCCAGCAACACGGTACCTTGTTGCTTTGGTCCCAGGGCACGGACAACGGCACTTCGGTCTGTCTGCAGGAGACGATGTATTTCCTATGGAAAGGGAACTGTTTTCCTTATGGCAGGATGGGAATCAGCCACGGCAGTCCCAGGACCCCAGCGCCCAGCAGCTCGCAGGGAACCGGCCCCTTCCTGGCTCCCATCTCCTCCCTCCGCCCCCGCTCACCTGTCCAGCCGAATCTTTTTCCTAGCACTGGCTTCTCTGTACCTCCTCTCTCCATCCTGATAAATGGGGAAAGCACATCAGGTTAATAGAAAACAAACAAACAAAAACCCTTCAGGGAGAGGACAAAGTCTTCAACAAGGAACGAGTGGCTGGAAGGCGCTGCACCACCACGCTTGTCCACTGCCGTGTTGGATACGGAGGGAAGCCACGGTTAGCGATTAACTGTGAACTATGTCGACATCTGGGAGGAAGTCCACGGGTGCCGGCTTCCGCAGATTTGGAAAAACCCCACACTGCGATTGGCATTGAAACATAAATCACATCCCCTAGCACATCCACAACTCCCCTCACTGAGGGGAAAAAAATCCCTTAAATTATAGAAAAGAGGAGCCCAAAATTGCAAGCAATATTCTGTTAAGCCTCACACAGCCAATACATTTCCATCCCTACATGGGCAAGTGTTTTATTTTATTATTAGTTATACAGAGCAATCAATTGAATCCACTGGCTATTGAGCAATTTGATTTCCATCATAATAAAGCGGCATTTGTTCTGCAGTGAATCGGAGAAGACAATAAAATTAGATCCTTTTGGGGCTACGATTCAGCTGCACGCTGCTCCCCAGGGGTCCCGTAGCACCGCAACAGGGAAAAATCCAGATGTGACCGGGGGTCTTTTCAGCCCTTCCTATCCTCACCTCCGGCTCGGGCACGACCATGGGCAGGGTGCGGGGTCGGCCCTCCTCGTCCAGCACCACGAAGGTCATGAAGGCGCTGTTGATGTGTCGGCGGCTCGTGGACATCTCCTGCCCATATGCCTCAGCGCAGACCCCGACCTCCATGCTGGGGGATGGCAGAGCAGACAGGGTAGATGCAAGCGCAGCAAAGTTTCCAAAAAATACTTTTTTCCCTCTTTTTCTCACCTGTTTTTGAAGGCGTTGTTGACGATGGCCTTCAGCACCAGGCGGTCGCCGACCTGGGAGGGTCCACGGAAGTGGAACATCTCGATGGCGGTCAGCGTGGGATGAGCATGGCACAGCCGGCTGCCGGGACAGGTGGCACGTCAGCCCTCGCGCCCGGGGCTGAACGCTACCTCGCCAACCCCACCATGGCACCGAGGGCCACTGCCCCCGCCCCTACCTGGCAGCAATGGTGGCGACGTTCTCCATCCAGGCCATGATCTGCCCCCCGAACGTGTTGCCCTGGTGGTTGGCATGCGGTGGCAGCACCAGCTCCACACTCTCCACCCGAGTCTTCTCCGCGGGCACCGCCATGCTGCCGTCCCGTGTCTCCAGCTCTGCCACGGCAGGAGAACCCTGCTCAGCACATGGGCCCCCCCGTGCCAACCTCTCCCAGCCTCATCCCAGCCAGGACGAGACTGCAGGCCCCTGGGGCTAGTCTGGGGCCTGACCCCCAAATCCCGCTCCGTTCAGCGCCCGGGACGCAGTACCGGTTTCGCGAGGGCTGCGGGTGAGGAGGTCCTTGAGGGTGTCCTTGTGGGCCAGGCGCATGCGGCGGCGCTCTGCAGCGATGCTGTGCTCTATCTTCTCCTCCTCCGTCTGAGGTGTCAGTGGCTTCAGCTTGACCTGAACACAAAGGACAGATGGCAAACCAAGTCACGGCCAGGCTTCCGGGGCCCCCGTCAGCCCCACGGCTGGAGACGGCTGTGGTGGAGCGCTTGCTCCTACTCCTCGATAGCCCTTGTGAGCTCTCGTTTTTTGGGTCAGTCCCCTCCAAAGGGGAAGATGCACCACCTGCCCCAAGCTACATGGACCAGAGCTAGTCCTAGGGCTGGATCATACCATAGCCGTTTACAGAGGGACCAGAGGCAAAAGGTTCCTCAAGGTGATGCAGATCACCTGGAAGGTGACCCAGGGACACTTCTCCCGAGCCACACCACCAGCTCCTGCGGTGCAGTAAGAGCAGACACACACTGAGACACGTCCCCACCGTGCCCTGCGCTCACCTTGGCATTGGCGTGACCCTGCGCCACGAAGGTGGCGTACGCCTTGCACATGCTCCACTGCTGCCCGCTGCAGAGGTCCTCGTGGCTGACCTGGATGCCCACCTGGCCAGGGACACAAAGCCACTGAGCCGCGAGGAGGCCACGGGAAGGGCTTCCTGCGCCGCAGGCCTCTCTGCCAAGCACCGGGAGCTTCCTACAAGCACCCCCAGGGCTTACTGATCCCAAATATTTGACCGAGGCAAGCCATATATCCCAAGTCAGGCCAAGCGGGAGGGGATTACCATGCTAGGTGGAAGCTTGAGGAGCATTTTGGTCTTTACATGGCCACAGGGAACAGAAAGGCTGTGGAGCTGCAGTGACGCAAATACAGCAAGGGTGTACGCGGGTGGCATGGGAAGCCGAGAAGGGTTGCAGCATACGAACCTCCATGCTGGAGTTAAACGCTCGGTTTACTTTGGCTTTGATGTTAACCACTTGCCCAACGCTGGAAAAAACAAAGAAAAAAAAAAGCATTAGGGGGTTATCAGCGGGCAATATCCTGTATTTCTAAAACATTTAATCAAGGAGCCTCTCCTCCAGGGAGACGCCGCTGCATTGAGGCTCCCTGCCCACCAAAAACGGCGGCAGCTTGACCCAGGGGGCTGCGCCTGGGTGAGGTTTCCTCCGCACGTGGAAAGGGCACGTGGGGCAAAGGGTGCCCGGAAAGCCATGGCATACCAGGCTGGGTGCATCCCCCCGCGGCCCGTCCCATGCAGCGGGCACACTCCCAACAGCTCTGCCGGCCTCCTCCAGCCTCAGGCACCAGCCCCCAAGGGGGCAGCAGCGCCAAGCAGGGGACAGGGCAGGTTTCCCCCAGGCAGGAGCCGAATCCCTGCTCCCTTCGCTGGTGAGAGACACCGGCCCCAAACAGCCCCCTTTGCAGGTAGTAGCAGGAGGAGCCTCCCTGGAGCCTCATGCATCATCACCGCTCAAGTTCCTCTTCCGCCTCCAAGGCCATGCTCTCCCTCCTCCTGGCCTTCAGTAGGCTTCAGAGTAAACACACAAGCAACTTTAGCTCTGCGGCCTGACCTACTCCAAATGGTACTGATCAAATTAATAAACGCAGCTGATAGAAAACACTCTTTACCAGCTGCGCTCTTAAATCAAGGATGTCCCTCATCCTCTAAAAGAGACCAATGCTATGAAATTAAATTGAAAAATAAAGCCTATTACCGCCACAGCAAGTCTGCACCGCAGAGGGCTCGAAAATGGAGATCGGGAAGAGCCTGTGCGGATGCGTATCGTACCTTAACCTTCCCGTTACCCCAAGCACGACGTGCAGTTTCAACCAACTAACGCTGAAAAAAACCCGAAAGCCTTGCAGAGTCCCGCGGGGCTCTGCCCGGTGCCCGGGCAGCTCGCTGCAGGCGTTAGCGGGGTTACGGG